GCCCCGCGGCCGCGCCTCCCCGAGCGAGCCCCGCTGGGGCGCCCAGTCTCCGCCCGGCGCGGCAGCCTCTTCACATGGAGGCCCGCGTAGAGGGAAGACGGCCGAGGGGGGAGCCAGCGAGCCGGCGAGCGAGCGCCATGGCCCACGCCCCCTCCGCGCGGCCCCCGGGCGGGCCTCACCCCTCCTCCCGGGGCCGCGGCTGGAGAGGAAGTGGGGAGGCGCCGACCTCGCCTCCTCCGGCGCCCTCAGGCCCCCACTCTTCTCCTCGGCGCGGGGCTGCGGCGCGCCTCGGCCCCGACCCTCGCCGCCCCGGGAAGGCGCGGGCGGGCTCACGACAGCCGCGGTTCCGCGGCCACGTCCCCAGCAGCTGGGGAGCAGGGCCGTCCGCTCGCCCTCCATCCAGGCCCGCCGCGCGCCGCCGAGCCCGCGGGCGCCGGAAGCGCGTGCGCGTCACTTCCGGGCGGTGCAGCGGCGGCCGCTTGGAAGATGGCTGCGCCCTGTGGCTCGGAGCTGCCCGCCAACTCGCCGCTAAAAATCCCGAAGATGGAGGTGCTCTCCCCGGCTTCTCCTGGAGCCATGAGCGACGGAAACCCATCGCTGTCGGACGCTTCCACGCCTCGGGGGGCCTCCCCGCTCGGGCCGGGCAGTGCGGCGGGCTCGGGGGCCGCGGCGTCCGGGGGTCTCGGGCTGGGGCTGGGGGGCCGCAGCGCCGCCTCGTCCTCGGTCTCCTTCTCCCCCGGTGGCGGCGGTGGCGGGGCCGCGGCAGCCGCCGCCGCTGCCTGCCGGGGCATGTCGTGGACGCCGGCCGAGACGAACGCACTCATCGCAGTGTGGGGCAACGAGCGGCTGGTGGAGGCGCGGTACCAGCAGCTGGAGGGAGCCGGCACGGTGTTCGGCAGCAAGGCCCCCGGGCCGGCCATGTACGAGCGCGTGTCCCGGGCCCTGGCCGAGCTGGGCTACGAGCGGACCCCGTCCCAGTGCCGGGAGCGCATCAAGGTAACCGGCCTCCCGGCCTGGGGCAGCGAACCAAATCCGAGGAGCGGGGGAGCGGGCCTCGGGGGCGGGGGCCGGTCTGAGCGCGGGGCTCCCCTCCGGGGCCCGGGGGGCGACTCGCATCTCCTCCGTCTCTGTCTTCTTTCCCTGGGAAGAGGGCTTTTTTCCTTATGGCCGCCAGCCCGTAGGTTTCTTGAGTTTGAAGTTGGGCGTGCCTGCCGCCGCCCCTTTTTCTTGCCAATTGAGGATGTTCTGCGCTCTAAGTTGGTAGTTGCTCATTGTGCGCGGTGCGGCGGTCCCCGCGCCGCTGGCGCGTGTCGCCCCAGCCGCCGGGGTCCCGCGCTTTGTTCCAGGTAGAGGGGCTTCCCGGCAAGGCTTACCAGCTGGGGCGGGGTCGAGGAAGGGCAAAACGGGGGCCGTTGAGCCCCCAGTTAGACACTTCAGTAGGTGGTAGATCCTTTCAAAAAGCGCCTTGGATGGGCTGGCCTTTGTGTGTCAGTCTCTGGTTTAACTTGAGGCGCTCAGGGTGAATGAGATTGGAGGTGTTTTGGAGAGTTGGAAAGCTGGCTTGGAGCCAGGTTTGGTATTGTCGTGGAGGTAGTCGGCGCCTTGAAAGTTAGCCAGGCTGGGAGACACTGTGGAATTAGGATCGTCGGTGTCTATAGAGTTACGTTGTCTTGAGCTCTGCTATTTCTGAGAAGCCCCATGGAAGTTAGTTTGTACATTGCTTTAGTCACTGTGCCAGACGTGATGACAAGTAAGACTCTTTGCAGCTGGCTGTCCTTGTGTAGCTGCATGTTTAATGCAGACGCTTGATGTGGACTACTGACTTTTATGCATTCATATTTGTATTTATTGGCAGATAAAAGATTTGTATTTTAATTAAGCTCTTGGCCTCCACATAGCATCTGCAAAAAGATTTGGATAGGACTCTCCTAGTTTTCACGGAAAATTCTACTACTTAGTCATTGTATCTGCATACTTTCCTGGTAGGACAGGCACATTTTCTGGGAGCTCCTAGGGTGGGGTTAAAAGTCACTAAAGTTTAAGAGTGATCTCCGAAAAGAACAATCAAAATCCAGTAAGAACAATAAGAGTAATCACACTGAAGCAGAAAGAATATGCTAGAGTAATGGAGTCTTGGCTCCTGTCACTTGCCCAATTTGTTACTTAAAATTTTGGTCCAGAAACTAAGCTATTTCAGACATACTAATTGCTGTGGAAGAAATTTAGCACTCATTAAAAAATGACAGTTTTTCTGTCATATGCCTTTGGGCTTCATATGCATCCCCCCTTTTTTGTATTTAATACAGGGTCTCACTACACAGATCAGACTGTAATGATCCACCTGTTTTCAGCTTCTCAAACGCTGGGATTACAGGTGTGCCATCAGCCATCACACCGTTTTGAGTGCTGTCTCACAGCGTCTCAGGAGGCAGGGCTGGCCATGCCATGCCACACCAGGCCATGCCGCACCAGGATCAAATTGTGCTCCCTGTATTTGCCTAAACAGGCGCTTTAATCCGCTGTATTTATTTATTTATTTATTTATTTGCAGAACAGGATTGAACTCAGGCCCTTGCGCTTGCCAGGGAAGCATTTATTCTACTAACACCCCCTCCCCGTTTTTTATGCAAGAATGTTACTAACATAGTCGCTAATAGGGAAAAACTTTTGTATGAGTTTCATTCATTGTTCTATTCAAGGTCATTAAGGGAAAATTTTTCGTAGAATTTTTACACTGCTGTGGATAACACTGAGCCCTGAATATTTCTTGAGTTTAGAATTTTTTATTTGAGTGCATTTTAGGCATGTGTAAGTATTTTAGTTTGCTTAATTTTTGTCATAGGTAATTTCCAAGTTGTGCCTGGGTGAACGAAATCTCAGCACTTAAGCTGAAGGAGTTTTACGCTAACCTAGACCACACAGACAAGCAGTCTCAAAAAAAAAAAAAAGAAAAAAAACAAAGAAATTATCGAAGGGAAAAAGTGTGCTATCCAAATCTCATTGAATTTATTTATTTATTTATTTATTATTTTTATTTTTTTTAAATATTTATTTATTTTGTGTGTGTGTGGCCAGCTCAGCCCACCAGGGGGCGGGGCTGGCTGGCATGTGGTGCTGGGGGATTGAACCGCGGTCCCTGGGCTTTGCTAAGCTTGTTCTAAGTAGGTGCTTTAGACCACTGAGCCATCTCACCAGCCCTCTCATTGAATTTAATCTCCATAAAATTGTTTCTCAACCAGGAGATAGCTAGCTAGATTGCTTTATAATCCAGCAATGAGAAGGAAACCTGAAACAAAGAAAGGAGATTGGGCCTCTGAAAAAAAGTTTTTTCTTTTTTTTTCCTGCTTGGCAAGTGCAAGGTCCTGAGTTTAATCCCCCATACAGGGGGAAAAAAAAGAAAAAAGAAAAAAGAAAAGGTCAAAATGTATTTTTTTTTCCTAGGGAAGGGTGTTCCAAGAGCTGGGATTATAGGTGTGCACCACCCCTCCCAGTCTCTTGGGTCGGGGAGATGGCTCAGTAGAATAAGTGCTTGCTTGGTAAGTGTAAGGGCCTGAGTTCCATCCCCGGTTCCACCAATTTTCTTACTTTCTTTCTTTTTTTTTTTTGCGGAACCGGGGATGGAATTCAGGCCCTTGTGCTTGCCAGGGAAGTGCTTATTCTATTGAGCCATCTCCCCAGCCCTGAAAAAAGTTCTTAAAGAAGTTTAGTTTGCCTGTCTCAGACAGGTAAGATCAACTTGAACTTAAACTCTAGGATATTTTGATAATGTGCAGTGATGATTGTGGACTGTCTCGTCCACAGTATTGGTTAAGAAGGAGAGCAGGTAAAAGGGTTTTTTTTTTTTTTTTTAACAGAATATATTTATTGAGGGAAAGAAAACTCCTGTCTGAGAGAGGGACAGGAGGGGGGTGTCCCAAGCGGGTGGTCCCCAATAGTTGTTTTGTTTTTTCTTTTCTTTCTTTCTTTTTTTTTTTTTTTTTGGGGGAACTGGGGATTGAATTCAGGCCCTTGCGCTTGCCAGGGAAGCACTTATTCCACTGAGCCATCTCCCCGGCCCCAGCCATCTCCCTGGCCGCCCCAATAGTTGTTTTTTGAAGTGTTCTACTCCTTAAATAATTTTATTTAGGGGACCCATACTTCCTTGTTAATGTTATTTCCTGCCAATTTTTTTTTTTTTATATTTTACGAAGGGTCTACAGGGTGTTCAGGGTCTCACTACTAGATCAGACTCGTAGTGATCTGCCTGTTTACAGTCTCCTAAGCTCTTTTTTTTTTTTTTTTTTGGTGGAACCAGGGTTTGAACTTAGGCCCACCAGGCAGCGCTTATTCCACTGAGCTATCTCCCCGCCCCATATTAAGCTGGTAAGGAAGTGTTGATCTGTCTTAATTCATTAATACACTAAATCCATCTAACGAAGTCCAGAAAGATAATTTTTTTCTGTATTTAAGACAGGGTCTTGGGCTGGTGAGATGGCTCAGTGGTCTAAAGCACCTACTTAGAACAAGCTTAGCAAAGCACAGGGACCGCAGTTCAATCCCCCAGCACCACATGCCAGCCAGCCCCGCCCCCAGGTGGGCTGAGCTGACCACACACACACACACACACACACACACACAATAAATAAATAAATAAACTTTAAAAAAAAAAAAAGACAGGGTCTGGGCTGGTGAGATGGCTCAGTGGGCTAAAGCACCTACTTAGAACAAGCTTAGCAAAGCACAGGGACCGCGGTTCAATCCCCCAGCACCACATGCCAGCCAGCCCCGCCCCCTGGTGGGCTGAGCTGCCCCCCCACACACAAAAAGACAGGGTCTAGAGGATCTACAGTGTCTTACTACTAGATCACACTCGTAGTGATCCTCCTTTTCTCAGTCTCCCAAGCTCTGGGATTACAGGCGCGTGCCCAATCTCTCATCTCAACATGCTCCAGAGGCAGGGCCTGCGCAGCATGTCGGGGATCGAACCTGGCTCTTTGCTCTGCCTAAGCAGGCACTTTAGTCCAGTGAGCTATTGGGCTGGCACTAGAAAGATAATTTTACAAAGTATAAAAATCTACAACCGTGCTTTAGACACTTTGGAACGTAGATTTTAAACACAGAAAATTTTTACATTAAAAACTAAGCTCTGAGGTGGGTGGGGTGGCACATGCCTGTAATCTCAGCACTTGGGAGGCTGAGGCAGAAAGACTGATCAGAGTCAGCCCAGACTATAAAGTTAAGTTTGAGTTGAAAGCCAATCTAAACTACATACAAGAGATCATGTCTCAAAAAAAAACAACACAAAAAACCTTTGCCCTTTTAGGAGACTTAATGTGAATATGACCTTAAACATACTTGGTGTGGAAAGGCAAGTTGAGCATGGTGGCCCCTCCTATAATCCCAGCCATTGGGAGGATGAGGCAGGAGGATCTCCCTAAGTTCAAGGCCTACCTGGTCTACATAGTTTAAGACCAGGCTAAACTGCATGGGCAAAAAAACAAACAGCAAAAAACCCAAAACAAAACTGCATAGGCAACACCTGCCTCCAAAAACTAAAAGAAAATAATAAAGTCAAACATGCTCACTTGAAATTATACTCTTACGTAATTATGAGGTGAAAGTTCAAGTAACACTGATGTATATAAAGATAAAAATACAACCATGGGGCCAGGGAGATGGATGGCTCAGTAGAATAAGCGCAAAGGCCTGAGTTCAATCCCTGGTTCCGCCAAAAAAACAAAAAACAATCAAAAACCTTAAGGGCTGGTGAGATAGCTCAGCAGATGAAGCACCTGCTTAGGCAACCTCAGGGTGCAGGGACCCCCACCCCCACCCCAGCCAGCTACTGAGAATGGGTGTGGTGGCACACGCCTGTAATCCCAGCTCGGGGGAGTCTGAAAACAGGAGGATCACTATGAGTCTGAGCTGCGTAGTGAGACCCTGTACCAGATACATATTAAAACAAAACAAAAAACAAAACTTGAATTCTCAGTCTGAAACCCTGAAATCAAATTTTA